GAAGATACGTCCAAATTTAAGAGACTTTGTTGAATTGTAATTTTGTGTTTGTAATTCTGTACATTTAATTAAGTTATTGTTAATTGTTATTGGTTTATTGTATTTGGTTATTGTTCGGGACGAACAATACTAAGGAAGGGGCAGTGTTGTGTCAGCGAGGTCACGTGATTAGTGTCACGCCACGTTTCTAGAACTATCCTGTACCTTCGTGAATGCCCTAGCATTTACTAGATATATGTTAGTTTGGTATATATATAAGACGCTCACAACGTGACGGAAATAACAATGTGTGTGTAGGTAGTGAGTAATTGAATTGCAGTCAGAAAGTATTGTTGAAGTTAACGTTCCTTGTTAAAACGTTTGTTATAGAGCGACTGTTGAAAATAAGTGTATCGGTAAAGTTATATTCAGAAAGAATAAACCAGTTTTATTAAGTAAGGACTTGTGTCGCTAAAGTTTCGTCGGAACGAAGTTACGGAAAATTAATTAACTAACGACTGGAGACGTAACAATATGAATAAATAATAAAGTACTGTTACGCCTCCGGTCGTTAGTTAAGTTCCCATATAATTTATTTCCGATGAAACTTTAGCGACACAAGTCTTTTCTTAATTAAACTAGTTTATTCTTTCTCAATACAACTTTGAAATTCACTTAATTTCAATGGTCACACTATAAGTTAAACAAACGCTATAATTCACAACGAACGACACACGTGCTCGACCGAACAATATGTTTCTATCTCTGTCTGCAGTTCAATTACATTACATTATATTGTTGCCGCCACTTCTTACCGGTCTTATATATATACAAGAATACCGCATATCTAGTAACTTCTCGAGGCTTCAGGAAGGGACGTGAACGTTCGAGAATATGACGTGTTACTAGCGTCACCGGACCCCCCCCCCCCGCTGTAGTAACAGTACGCTATACAAATAATTAAACTGTAAAATTTCAATGAAACATGAAATGTTTATTTTATTTTTATTCAGACAATTTGCTTATTATTGAATAAGTGGATATTGAAATGAAACTATAAACTAGAAATTTTCCATAATAATAATGCAGAACTAATATCATGATTGAACAAAATTCATAATAATGTAATTGCAGGATGGGACACGTTGGCATTGATCAATTCCAAAGTCTGAGGGGCCTGGCATCGCACGGTGGTTAGGGCACTCGTGAGCCACAGATTTAATCCCATCACAAACATGCTCACCCCTTCAGCATTGTAATATGATGGTCAATTTAACTGTTCGTTGGTAAGAAGTAGCCCAAGGTTTAGTAGCAAGTGGTGTTGACTCGCTGCCTTCAGTATGGTTATATTATTTGGTCGTACCACGTTAATATTTTGTGTCAGAACATTGTTTCTCTTACAGCAGAAACCAGTAGATTTTCGAATGGAACACAATTATCCATAATATCATAAAGTATTTTGGTTACGTGTATTTGACTACTTGTGTTTTGTGTGTTGCCCTACCTAGTAATATATCATTTTTTTGCTGGATTAGTTTGTACAGGTCTTATACAAATAATTGTTATGTTATCTCAGTCGCAGCATCTGGAAACGACCTAGATAACACAGCTAATGCACTTATAACCTGTTTAACAGGTTCAAAAAAAAAAAGCTGTTTGCGTCAAAGGTTCGCGCGAAAATGCAACATGTTATTACTAAATGCTAAGATTTAAGCGTGGAAGAGTACACAGAGAACAGTCGCCTTCTCTTATTTTGACAAGCAATTTTTTAAAGGTATGTAAACTTAATTAAATATTGAAAATGTAATACTACATGGTAGCAAATAATACCTGTGTACTGTTTTTTTAAAACTTAATTTCAATATTTCAAGCTATAACAAATTCTGAATTTAATTGCTCAAGCATTGTTGTGTTCATCACAGAAAAAAATGAACTTTGTAAGTTCCAGACAGATGTTTGTCCTTAGTAAAATGTATGAAAAGTTTTTAACAAACATTTTAGCTATTCGAAATTGGAGGAATTTGGAACATAGTGGGACATGTACGTGCTACTATGCTGGTGTTTATAAAACTAAAATGGTAGCAACCAGCCAACCACCCATGGGTAAGTGGGTCGTTATTCAGAATCTTTTAGTTGACAGAAGAAATTCAGAGTCCTTGATTTGGCGACCATTAAACTTGTGAAGCAGCTTATAAGCATTATAAAATTCTCTTAAAAATAAAGTTGTTGTAGTTATCTATATCCTTTGTATCATATATGATAAACTTCAAAATATCAATATAGGTTTTAACTAACCTTTGTAGAGGTGTTACAGTGAATAAATGAATTGTGACGTTGTAATGACAGTTTTACTTTTGATAAATATGGTTTCTTGTAAATTTTATCCAATTAGTGAGCAAATTATTTTGAATAATCAGGCCTATATATATATTCATTTTACTAAATAGGAATCGAGGGTTGGTAGCAGTGCTTCTTAGCTAAATATTACTAATTTATAGACCTCTGATTTACTATCGCGATATCGTATATTTTATACTCATAAGAAATTCATTGGGTTTGTCATATTTCTTTCTATCTGACTAATATGCAAGTTTCAAAAATTATCGAACATAAACTTCTAGTTATTCTTCCACATGTTAAAGAAAAATGCACTTCATATTTGTAATTTATTCAATAAAATATTTTAATATATGTAATTTTATATAACGAATCGCAAATTTTGATTTTGGGTTGACTTTAGCTCGCTCCAAACGAAAACAGCCTAAACTTTATGTTAAAACCACGTTAATTGTGGAAGTTTTTTTTTCCCCACATTCATCTTAATTTGTTCACTGTGAATTCTACACATATATAGTTTTGAAAAACATCTACAGTTAACGTAATTTTTATAAAGTTCCTAATGCTTCGCTAGCTTTCGGCGTTTAGACCGTTGTGGTATTTGGTATTTTCAAGTAAAGCCGATTTCACGGCTAGTATTAGATAAGTAAACCCCCAAATAATAGCAGAGTCGATCAAGAAATAAGGAGTGTGATTTGAATTTAAAGTTATCTGAGAAATAAACAGAATGGACACATTTGAAGGACAGTGAATACAATCTTTATTTAGACTTATCAAGAAAAAAACAACAACAACAAAACAATGCGGGTTCCTGCATACAGAAGTGGACAATTTTACTGGATTAGTGAATAGCTCGTTAACTTTATGCTCCTTAAGATGAAATCCTGCCAAACTAATGATAATGAAAAACAGGCAGAACTGACCAAAAACAGCGCTTCTGAAGTCCACAGTTAAACTCTCTTGGTCCAATCGTTTCCTCACAGCATTGGTCGACTGGTACATGTAGTCAACGTCATACATACCCGGCCGGCAAATGATATTATAGTGCCAATCCTTTCAACCCGGATGCTACAGCAATATTATATCCTATCAGCCAGAATAGACACTTTCTACTATGGAGATCAAAGAAACAAAGCACTGTTAATAACTTTCTGGACTATATGTTTTCACCATTACAAAACGGAAAAGTAAGAAAACTATAACATTTAAAAAATCTTTATATCATTAAAGCAGGAATAATAAATAAGACATTCCTGCATATCACACTCTTCCTTCCTTCTGTCTTTCATACATATCCCAAGCCAACCCTTAAATTATGATTTTACACACATGATAAGAAAATCAAATATATTATGCAAAAAAGAGAACCCTTTAACAAATAATTACATTAAGTATCTTTTAACAAAGAATACATGCATATACACACACAAAAATACATAAAAAACTTTAACACTGAATACCTACCCCCTTTAGAAGGTGGTAGTCTAACATACCACAGACATGAAATATGAAATAAAAAGGACAAAATAAAGTAAAAATCTTCAACAAAGATGACCTACCCCCTTTAGATAAGGGTAGTTTAATATATCTCACATAATTACATTTAAAAAAATATAATTAATGATTAAACAATGCACAATACAAAAACAACTCCCTGCAATAATGGAGCAAACACACGAAAAACCAGGGAACTTTTTATGCCCAAAGAGAGTTAAAATAAATTGAAACTTTTCACAGTGTTTACACAAAATAACTATTTAAAATGAAATGCATAAGACATAATGACACAATGAAAACATAATTCAGTACAACTAAACCTTTTACCTTAATCAAAACATAATCAGTCAAATTGCAAAATGTAAACCATCATAATAAACATACTGATACAACTCTTTATAAATGAAATCAATATAATCCAAACATATTAAAGTAAGACTCTTTTATTGAAACAAAAGCAAAACACTATCAAAATAATTGTATGCTGAATCTTCTATCAAAATATTTACATAGATTACACTGACCTAAGTAACAAGAATAGAATAAATATATAGTGAATATAATTCACAATATATTTACACACACACTTACATGAACTATTTGGAAATGGTAAGTTACTGGACCTTCTGATGGCAGAGCTTGTGTATGGGCACTTATGGCTCTCCCAGGTTTGGTAGACCTCAATGTTTAAGTCCAGTGTTTGCTTCACTGATCTGGTGTCAGAGAAGCTGACTTTTATCTGGTCTTCTGGCTGACATTTTCAGTCAACCTGGCATCTCTTCATAGTAGTCTTCAGTTGTGCTGGCAACCTATCAACCAATGGAAAAATACTTTTGTAATACCAAGCAACAAGGAATGGAGAAAATGTTGGCTAGTTCAAAAACAAGATAGCCAAACACGTCCAGAATTTGATCCTTCATACAAAAGTCCAGATTTCAATGTAATATCAGGTGAATTCTAGTGGTCAAGAGTGCAGCTTGAGAAATTTGCAATCTCCAGGTTTCCCTGAGTTTCCACTCAACCAGCTGCCTGGATAACAGGATCACACACACACCAAACTCTTGGACCCAGCCTAATTCCTAGATGTCATGTAGAGCCTGGTTAACATAAGAAAGGGTTTGAGAGTCAAGAGTACTCAAGTCTTACGTAATTGAGCTGACTTGAATTAGGCGATGCCAACTTCATATTTGACTGTTAGTAGTAACTCTACAATGTAATGCATACATTGTGCTTCCAATATTACTCGATGGCTCAGAAAGCAAGAGGTCATGATACTTTTTTGGTCATCAGTCCTCTAATTACTTGACCATCTTAACTTTTATCAGTGGGAGGCCACTGTCTCATCTGTAACTATCAGAGGTTACCCACCAGTGGCATATCCAGTCTTTCTCAGCATATTGTCTGTGATTTGGATTAGAGCCAGAGCTGCTGTGCTGTGACTAGCAATGGCCTGGATGTCCTGTGGAGACCTCCTGAAGAGGTCTTTGACTCTACAGGCTCAAAAATTCTGTGTTGGCAGCCTTCTTGTACTTGCTTCATATATTTTATAATGATGATGGTGTTTTCCTTTATCTATATATAAAGCAAAAAAATAATAAAAAAAATCTGTGTGTCTGTCTGTTTGTCTTTTATATAACTAATCCCAGGTTGCTGAGCCAATCTCAACCAAACTTTGTGGGATGATAGTTTAGAACAAAGGGCATGTTATTGGGTGGTTCAGAACACCTTCGACCCCTCATTATTGCTGTTATTGAGCATTTATTATCTTTAGCATTAACTTATGGTGCCACATCCTTACCCAAAAAAACTTTATTAAATTTTCTATAGCACAACATACACACAGTGTAGGGAGAGGTCACACAAGCATTTTATATATACTAGACAATGAGCTGGTACTCTGAATGGAGGAATGCAATGAAAAAATGGCCACCACTATTGCAATAATGTATAAACTCAGCTGATGTTTCTACTCCAAGAGCCACAATAAGTTTGATATAAAGTGCCATTTCGACTTGAGTTATACCCACTTCATAATTTGACCCATGACCTTTCAAATTCGGCCTGTAAGACACTCCTGCAGCCAATGACCTTCAATAACTGTGCACAGATATATATTTAAGAATCTTCTATCAAAATGTTTACATCGATACACTGGGAGAAAGAGAATTTAAAAATGTGTTGTGAAAAAACCCAGGTAAAACGGTGTTTTTCTTTTTAGCTGTAGTTAAGCCTTTGTTACTTTTATCTCTCCCACTACCTGCTGAACATTTCAACATCAAAACTGAAACATTTTCTTATTAGTATTAGTGAATATAATAGTATGATACATTTTCTAATTGTACTTTCCAGATCAGTTATCGTAGATAAACTCATACTCATCAATTCATTATATTGAGGAGGTTCTAGAGATTATGCAAATGAAATATGAATATTATAAGATGACTCTGTAAAGGATTTGTAAATTCTCAGATGCATCTATAATACAAATGATTATTTTTATATACAATAGGTTTTCACTTTGATCAAATTTGTGAAGATATACATAATAAATATAGAATTATAGTAAACATTAATTCTCCCATACAGCATCAGTCCAAGAGAATGAGCCCTTGCATAAAGGGCTAATAGATAGTAAAGATATGTAAATTAATAACTTAGTCTGTGGTATACAGGTTCACCAGTATCCAACAGGTTTAAGATTTGCAATAAACAACACATTTTATAGAGAACAAACTGGAAACAAACAGCAAAAGAAAAGCCAAGCATAGATGCAAAATAAAGAGTAGCACACTGTGGATTAGAGCTGGGTGTTGAAAGTTGGTCACTTGCTGCTATTGCTTTGGCCACTACCTCTTCCTACAAAGTCACCCAGACCATTGCACAGTGTATACCATGTTTTAAGTATATACATATTGAGTTCTTAAAGCCTATACAAAACTTTAGGTAAGGTAATAATAAATACTTTAATAATATTTTATGTTATAAATAACTCGTGTAAAAGGATTTTTGTGTTATTTATCATAGCATCAACCCCCACATATTTTTAGTTCATAACCCGAACAAATGATGGGTAACCTCAGCTTGTATATGTATGTAGTAAAGGTGATGATTTTCTGTATTATCTTTTTTCCTATAATTTATAGTTATGAAAGTTTGCATATCGCATTTGATATTGTTTCCCTGCAATGTATAGAGATAATTCTGTTTTCCCTATCATTTAGTGATGAGTACTCATGTGTAAAGTTTAGTGATGGTTTCCTGCAGGATAGTGATGATGTTTTTCTACAGTGTATAATTATGAGAGTTTGTGTGAAGTGTTGATTGATAGTGATTTTCCTGTAGCCTTAGTGGTAGCATTGTTTTACTACAGTATGATCATAGCAGTATTTTGATGGAGGTGATATCCAATATTGTGTAGTCACATTTGGAAAATACATAATTAAACCCCAGCATTTTCACAGGTGAACCTAGCTGTTTTTCTTAGGGTTAAAAGCATAATGATACAGTAAAATGTGTGTACAGAAAACTTTAAAACAGGAAGTAAGTGTGATTGGCCTATTGTGGGTCAATGATACGTGTTTAATAGATTTGTGTAATGGTTCACTTTACATGTTATGACATTCAAAGATCAATTTGAAAATTGAAGAAAAGTTTAGAAACTTAGAATAATGTACCAATATTATTTATTTTGTATTCAATATAAAAAGAAATACAAACTTCATAATTAACCAACAAAGAAGATATTCAAATAAAGATGTTTACATTAATACTATGAGGTTTAACAATATTAAAACCTCCCCCACCTAGTGGCTCAGAAATAATTCTGAAGCTTTATAATTCTGAAAACTAGGTTTTGTACCCATGATATGCTCAACACAGATAGCCTATTGTGTTGCTTTGCACTTAATAACAAACAAACAAACAATACTAAGAGTGGAAATCCAGTAAGCTTCTTTCATCTTTCTATCTGCTTTGTATTGAAACCCAGTTTCAATACCTAAGAGAACCAATGCCATTGATAAAATGGAGTGATAAACAGTAATTATCTACTTTGACTTTTTCCGTACTATCTTTATCGGTATTACATATTTAAGTCTTTTGTGTAAAGTATCGTATTTCTAATATTTTGCTTACTTTTTTTTTAAAGAAGTATTTATTTTCACTTATTCTCTGCACGTTTTTATTTTATAAAATTTATGTAGTAAAATTTCTATATTATTATTATCTTTTTTAACCATTCACAGTTTTTTTGTTTTTTAATATTTCTCATTTTACTTGTTTTGTATTAGTTAAAACTAGAATCAATAAATAATGGTGGTAAGGTGTGCTATGTTTTTTTCCCAAATTTTGTCTGCTACTTTCATACTGATCTTTGTACCTCTGATATGTGAAGTGATCCACTTGCATAACTTTGGACAACACCTGGCTGATCAGACATATTTCCTGTTTTCTGAAAATGTCCATGCATTACACTCTATTATATTATCGTACCTTTGCCCTGAAAAAAGTGCAGGCATTATATTATTTTTATAGTGATTTAACACCCTTTATGATCCTACATGTTTTTGGTATCATGGCTATACTCTAGAGTAATATGTAGCAGTGTTTTTCTTTAGTGCGATGATATTTTCTTAAAAAATTGTATCTTGATGAGGTAGTTTTTATATAATAAATATTATGATAATAGTGATGTTTTTTTATATTTATGCTTGGACATATGATAAGTTATTTTAAATTTCAAACATTTGTTTGATCTGAAATAACCTAACTGTGTATGTTACATAACACTAATTGCATAGAAAAAGTGACAAAAACTTTTACTGACAAGTAAAAATGAAAATGCCATTACAATCAAAATATAAAGTTTACTTGCATGGAGATGTATATAAAAAAGATAAGCATAGCTGTTGGTGCTACACTTTGGTTAATCTTTTATTGTTAACTAATTCAATTTATTAGTTTATGATATAGACTTCCTCAGTATATTTTTATCATTAATGTATTTGTGCACCATATTTCAAATGAATATATTATGTTATATCATTTGATTTTGATATTTAATTTTTTACTTGTTTTTTTTTTCCATAGATGATTTTGAATTTTACCTTTTTTATGCTTTTAACATTTCTCTAAGCACTTCTTGTATATGATTATCTATTGAAAATAATTTTTAAAATCAGTATACACCACATTCTGTGTAGTTTTAATTATGATTAGTTTAAAGCACCTACAACATTAATTTTTTGCTTAGGTTTTACCAGGTAAAATGACTGATACATTTTTATTTCAGCTAGAAAAGCTAGAATCTAGCTAACATTACTGAAGGTTGTCAGAATGCAGAATGAACAAGAGGATCAAACTTGTAAACACTTGAAGCTTGATGAAGCATGCTTGACCATCCAATCAACAGCTAGTCGTGCATTACAACTTTGGACTCAAAGCTCAGAATGTGAAGGAGTAAGTCTGACTTGAAAATGTACAAGTGATTTTACTGCTTATTGTATGGTATCATTTTCAATTTATTTCTATTGTGGATCATATAAATTGAGTAACTTTAAATACAAATTTTGTAGTGGTAGTGTGATGTACAACTTGAGAGTTAAGCAAGCAAAAATTATTTTATCTGTTGAATTGTAGTAGATAGTTTACAAAATTTAGTTATAGTGAAACATGAATTTAAAACTGGAATGCACAAACACAGACATATATCTTTATACACATATGTATACATATCTTAGGCTACATGAAAAATATGTTAAGTTCAGATTAAAAAAAATAAAAAATAGGCCTACTTGCCAGATGGAAATATAATAATAAAAAAAGGTTTAATAAAACTTACACCCATATACTTAGAATTGTTAAGATAAGCATACTTACCAGATGGAAGTATAATAAAAATGTATTAATAAAATTTATACCTAAATACTTAGAATTGTTAAAAATTAATGTTTGAAATCCAAATGAAATACAGAGCAAAGCACCAGTTAATGCTTCAGAGCACTTAGAAGTAAGAGAAACTGGTTTCAAATGCTTGACACTTTGTGCTAGTAATCTAATTAAAATAGTGTCTCAGTGATAAAAATTGTTGATTATAACAACATATTTATGACTGTAAGAAACTCCTGCTTAGCTCATTGCTTACTATTTTATCATTTAGATTTGATTGATTGAATGATGGTGTACAGTGTAGCTGTTTGAATTAGATTTAATTTTATTAATATATATATATATATTAGGAAAATAAACGTTTTTAAATATTTAAAACAGGATTGTATTTGGCTAGTTATTGATAAAAATGTATTGTTTTTAAGAGCTTTATTTTCAGAAATTGAGCCATGACCGTATGAGGTTTTATGAAGAACATTTCAATGAATGGGTATTTACAATACAGGTTACAAGATACCTTGGTGAATTTCTACATTAGTAGTGTAATGGAACTTTTTTTGCCTGGGTATGTTGAAATAAAGAGCTCACAAGCACCAGCAGAAATCTACAGGCTGCAATCTTGAAGTGCCACTAGTGATATAAAGTTATTTGCCATTATGTAAAAAGTGTTATGTAGTCCAGATCCTCTCCCTCTTTTTTTCTTTTGTGCAAAGTTTAAAGAAATATGATAAGTTATTTGCTACTGTGTTTTATTACTTTGGTAAAAAGTACTAAATGCAAATTTCATGTTTTAGCAACTTTCACTTGTGATGTATAAATATATCATACATTTCTACTTTCCTATTTTGCAATAATACTATTCTGAATTTATCACTCATTCTATACATATGCAGTTTTCCCACAACACATATCAAGAAAGTCATGAAGTTAATTTTGTTCTAGCTGTCTTTGTTCCTTGCCATTCTATTCAGGTTGTTCTGCCCCTGTGAGTGAATGGCTGTAATGCTGCACGTTGTGAAGAACATTGACAGCTAGTGTCTGTAAATGTTAGTTCAGATAATATCTCAAGATTATGGTCTCTCTTATGCTTGAACGAGAATGACTAATCATATGGGTAATGCTAGTTGCTTTGGGTAAATTCAACATTACTCCGTGAAGAAAGAAACATTGAACTTAAACAGTCTGGTACATGATTTGGTCTGATCAGTTGAAGATAACTAATCCAGTATGAGACCATTCTATGTCAATAAAGCAAGCACACACACACACACACACACACACACACACACATACACACACACACACACACTCTGTTTCTGAATAAATAATTTACTTAAGTGAATAATAAGTGAATTTACTTGTATTTTACATTGTTTCAAGTTTCTTTCTTTCATGAACTCTGTTACTCAGAGATTCAGCACTATTTGATAATAAATGTTTTCTAGAACCTCCTGTTATTAAGCAGATTTATCCCATAGCTCTAAGGTTAATTTAGTTTTACCTAAATATACCACAGACTCAAAAAATAATGATAGAATTTAATCCAGAAACAGTTTTTAAGTTGTTTAAATCAGTGATATTCTTAATTATTGTGTATGCAGTGTTTTTCATTCCTGAAAGATTTAGCCATGTGCAGTAACCAAAGACCAGATTATTGTAAGACTGTTAACATTATTTGTTTTGTGTGTATGTAAATAAATTTCTGAATAATATAAGTATATATTTTTATTATATACATTATTATTTCACTTTCTGAAATTAAAATTGACATTCAAAATAGTTTGAATGTTTAACTAAAGAAACTAGTAATCTGACAGAATTTAGGAATGATATAATCCGCTGCACAACCAGACAGCAGAAAAATTTCTGGGGCAACTATTTCTAAAGCAGCACCAAGATGAGTTCTAGAACTTTTTGTGTATGAAGGTTTAGTTAGGCTTATAGTGAGCAGCACTAACTTTTCACCAATGTTCAACAGTTTATAAAGGAATGTGAATAATGCAGGGTATTTCTCAAAGGGAATGTACATTTCAGAACTGAGTTCTGCAGTGTTGAACATATTAACATTTGTTGTTAAGTTTTTATATTGGAAAACTTTCTATTGATGTTAATAAAATACTTTTATTTTTATAGTGCCCTGGTTTATTCCAGAAAGAAATTTCTCCCAGAAACAATTTCACATTAAAAGTAAATACTTCTACAGAAACTAATTTAACTGTTATTGAAGATACTTCTGCAGGTGTGTTTTGCAGGTAATGTATGAATATATATATATATATATATATATATATAATTCCAGATATACATATGTTTAGTATACATGTATATATATATATATATGTATATATATATATATATATACA